AACAAATGAATACACAGCAATGAAATAAAGAAGAGCTGAGTTGGGGCTGGAGAAGTGAAGTTCAATTATAAGTAGTTTGTTTGGGAAGACAGTGAAATGTCCACCTGGAGACTGTTAGTTAAGCAGCAAAATACTGTGTAGCTCAGAAGGAATTCTGGGGATGACGACAGTAGTTGCTATGTTCCTTCAATCCATGGGCATGGATAAGATTACTGAGGAAGAAATTAAAGAGAGAAAAAGGAACAGGACCAAGTCCTGAGAAACCTCTAAATTTAGAGGTCAAATGGAAGAAAAGTTTGAAAAGCAGACTGAGGATAATAAGCTTCTAAGGTAAGAGAAAAACGAGAAAAAAGTGGAGTCATAAAGCCCAAGAAGAAGAAGACTCTTTCCAAGGAGGAAATGGTCATATATGTCCAATCTGCTAAGAGGGCTTATTCAAGAGGACGACAGGAAAACCACCTCTGGGTTAAAATATGTAACACCCTGGGGTGACAGTGACACAGGTTTTAAGGAAGGAGTGGAAGCCAGACCCAAACAGGTTAAAGAATAAATGGAATGTGACTAACAATGAAGTTGTACCTATAAGGTAGTCCCACTCTACGAATTATTATAAAAAAATTGTTGAGACTACCATTTTTTTTTCTTTCTGGCATTTCTGAGTTTTCCTTTATAGTTTTTCTTTCCTCCTTCTTTCATGACAATGTTTTGAAGTTATTAGTTATAACCAGTGGTTCTTACAAGTCACAGATCATAGTGAAATCACAGATCATGGTGAAGAAGCTATCTGTCAACCAATCTATTTAAGAGCTTTTCAACCAGAAGAAGCTGATTTAAAAAAAAAAAAAGTTACAAAAAAAAAGAAAAAGAAAAAGAAAAAAGACACTATTGCAGGAGCTGCTAATCTGTATTGCAGAAATAGGCAAATGACATGTTTATCCAAAGGATTTAGTCTTCTCTCTTTAATTATTCATTTCCTTTTTGTATCTTCTTCAAATTATCACTATTAAAGATTTTGGGATTTTTTTTTTTTTTTGGTGGCAGAGTCTTAGTTTGTCGTCCAGGCCGGAGGGCAGTGGCATGATCTTGGCTCACTGCAAACTCTGCCTCCCGGGTTAAAGGGATTCTCCTGCCTCAGCCTCCTGAGTAGCTGGGATTATAGGCACACACCACCACACACAGTTAATTTTTGTATTTTTACTGGAGACGGGGTTTCATCATGTTGGTCAGGCTGGTTTTGAACTCCTGACCCAGTGATCGGTCCACTTCAGCCTCCCAAAGTGCTGGGATTACAGGCATGAGCCACTGCGCCTGCCTGGGAATTATTTTTGTAGGCAGGGCAGAGCAGGATGATGTGGAAGATAAATGTGACATCTGGATGGATACTGGCCTTTGAATATCACTAGCCGGTTTGCAAGTATAATGGAATAAGTTCATCTTGCCATCTGGCTAATGTAAAATGGAAAGCTAAGGGACCTGCCATTAAGAACTGTAGAACTGAATGAATTCAATAAGGTTTAGATTAACAACACTTGATCACCAAACATTTCCGGTTTCTAAATACAGGTCCACTGTTAGTCAAGCTATGAGTTTCAGAATTACCTGATAAACTTTAAAAAACAGATGCAGGGCCGGGCGCAGTAGCTCACACCTGTAATCCCAGCACTTTGGGAGGCCAAGGTCGGTGGATCTCCTGAAGTCAGGAGTTCAAGACCAGTCTGACCAACATGGTGAAACCTCATCTTTACTAAAAAATACAAAAAAAAAAAAAAAATTAGCTGGGCATGGTGGCAGGCGCCTATAATTCCAGCTACTTGGGAAGCTGAGGCAGGAGAACTGCTTGACCCTGGGAGGTGGAGGTTGCAGTGAGCCACGATGGCACCATTGCACTCCAGCCTGGGTGACAGAGCAGGACTCCATCTCAGAAAAAACCAACTATTAAAAAAAAACAAAAAACCCCAAAACAAATAAAAACAGATCTGTAGGCCACAACCACAGAGATGTTCATTATACAACAGATGTGGGGTGAGATCCAGGAATCCACATTTCTAAAAAGCTCTCCAGGATTTCTGATATACAGCTAGGCTGCAGAAGTTGATACTGAAGAGTCCCCAAACTTATAGGCAATAATTTGTTGCTAAGGTACAAGAGAGAAGTACAGAATCATGAAATTTTAGCACTTGGAAGACTTTTTAGAGAATGACAAGTTGAAACTCCCCCTTTTTTTTTTTTTTTGAAACAGGGTATCCCTTTGTCACCCAGGCTGAAGTGCAGTGGCACAATCTTGGCTCACTGCAGCCTCATCCTCCCAGGCTCAAGCAATTCTCACACCTCAGCCTTCCAACTAGCTGGGACTACAGGTGTGCGCCACACTCAGCTAATTTTTCGTCTTTTTGGTAGAGATGGGGTTGTGCCATGTTGCCAAGGCTGGTTTCAAATTCCTGAGCTCAGGGATCTGCTTGTCCTGGCATCCCAAAGTTCTGTGATTACAGGCATGAGCCACCGTCCCTGGTCAGAACTCCCTGTTTTTTTCAGTCAGGAAAATCAGGAGTCCTGATGAGTTCACAGTCACACCAATTGTGGTTAGATATTTGGCCTTCTAGCATCCCCATTACACATACTACTTTGTTTCTTAGTTAACTTATATAGGTAATGGTTTTTACTTTAAGCGGATATATTTTAATTTACCTTAAAGCATTAACTACTTTTTCTACTTTATTGCACCCCATAAAAGTGGACATAGTTGGAACTCAGTGGATGCTTGCTGAAGAAAGAAAATGTGCATTCTTGTCTACAGGTGTTTTCACAGCTGCAGGAGTATCTTTTAAAGCTTCCCCAGGTCTCAGTCATCAAAAAAGATAAAGACCATGGCTTTTTTATCACATCATTTCTCACAGAGGGAATGACTGATACATGACATGTGAAAGCAGGATTGCTTTCTTAGGTAAAGGAATTACTACAAGTTATTAATACTTGGAGTCACTGAGTCAGGTTAAAGTTTCCAGGGGAAATCTATAAAAGAGAAGATTTTTACATTTATAGATTCCCACTGGAAATCTGTAAGTTTATAAACTTACAGATTTCCAGTGGGAATCTATAAATGAGAACTCAAAAGTTGCCTCAGGGACAAATGGAGGGAAAAAAATAGTCAACCTTCTGTTTAGAATGTGAGCTAACATCACAGCTGTTACTCTGATGGTAATTCCTGCCTACTATTTATAAACTAAGAGTTAAGACAAAGTATGAGATCACAAAATGTTCTAAATACCATGCAAAATAAAATGACCTAAAGGTCCAAAATTTAGTTCAATAGGTGAAAAACTATCTTTCTAAAGTAGGAAAGAGGTACAAAAAAACCCACAAAAATGAAATAAATGGAAGATATAAAAAATTTCTAAATGAGTAAATAAAGAATCGAAATACTAAACTAAAGCAAGACACTATGAAAAGGAAAACAATTTCAAAGACAAACATAGAAAGTCTAGGAAGACTAGGAGGCTAAGATATAAAAAGTTAAAAGCAGAAGAGACACACACACGACGCCCAAATAGGTTATCAGCTAAGGACAAAAACTGAACAAAAATTAGAAAGAGTAAAATTAGATTAAAAAGATACTTTCCAAAATGAGAAGAATCTGCCCAAGTGTCCATCAATAGAAGAATGAATAAACAAAATGTGGCTTATACATACAATGGAATATTATTCAGCTATAAAAAAATGAAGTTATGATACATACTTCAACACAGATGAACTTTGAAAACATCATGCTAAGCCCCTAAATTGCATACTTTAAAATGGATAAAGTGGAAAACTTTGTTACACATGTTTTACCCAAAGAAAGGAGAAAGCCAAAACAGACTAAAAATCAGTAAGCAACAAAACCAGAAAAATATTAAAATAAAAAATAAAATATTAAGATCATAAATATGTGAAACTCTTCCAAGAATACTACCCCCAAATGTCATTAAGGAACCTAAGAAGTCAAAGGTATGAGAGGGATGTCAAAGCAGCAGCAGCACAAATAGACAATTTAATTTCAAGTAAGTAGGATGACCATATAATTTACCATCCTAACCAGGACACTTTTTGAGAGGAAAGGGGACACTATTAATAAGTACACAGGGACAACAGGTGTAGACTGGGGCTGTCCCAGGCAAAAGCGGATACGTGGTCAGTCTCTACATAAGGGCAATCAGGTTCTCAAGGTTGAGTTCATGCCCACAGCTTGGGGTCTTGCCAGAAGTGCAATAGTCTGACAGTGCCTTTCCGAATGACTCAGGTGGTCAAAAATGCACGACTGTTTTTCATTTTTTTTACAGAGAAATAAAACACAATTCATAGCCTTTACCGAAGTTTACTGATTCGAGATTCATAAAACAATTGTTATTAGCATATTATATTTTATTAAGAGCTGTAATTTAGTATTCTAGGAATTTTAGAAGGCTGAATTATACTTTGAAATGCACTGGCAGGCATACTAAGGAAGTCCTGAGGTGAATCATTTTTTATAAACCTACATTTTTCTATATTGCATTAGAGCCCTATAAATATATGTGTATCTTCTTTTTTTTTTTTTTTGATGGAGTCTCCCTCTGTTGCCCGGGCTGGAGTGCAGTGGCACAATCTCCACTCACTGCAACCTCTGCCTCCTGGGTTCAAGAGCTTCTCCTCCCTCAGCCTCCCAAGTAGCTGGGATTACAGGCGGTGCCACAAAGCCCGGCTAATTTCTGTATTTTTAGTAGAGACGGGGTTTCATCATGCCATGTTGGCCCAGGCTGGTCTCGAACTCCTGACTTCAGGTGATCTGCTTGCCTTCAGGTATCTGCTTGCATATACTCTTTTTATATTTATATTTGACAGGAGAGAATTGAGACTTGAAAATTTGAAAAATCAAGTTAGAATTACTGAGAAAATCAGTAGCTCTGACATTGTACCCATTCTTTATTTTTAAACTAAAATTAATCTTAATGACCTACAAATAGGTTAACTTAAACAGTCCATACCTTACATGAGAAGCTCCGACTTGGGATGTTTCTTGCTAACTCTGATATCTTGGGTTTATTCTGAAGATACTTGGTTAGGTGATATTTTTTCAATTTTATTCTATTGTAATAATGATCAGCGAAGTTACAGTGATTCAAAGGCTGTTTCTGCATGCGTTTTCCCAGGTGAGGAACACTATACTTCAAAACTTGGAGAAATAATTTGGTCTTCTGCTGCATGATATCAAAGTCCCTGGTTTATGCTCCCTTTGGGGCTGGCAGCACACAAGTGATTTTATAGGTATGATTACAGAGTAGTGGGTTCTCAGAGTATCTAAGATCAGCAGTTCTCATCCCTCCATTTCAGGGCCATGCCCGGCTTAGGTTACGAATAACTTCAGACAGCTGATAACTTAGGCTAACTAAATCTAAAAACTTGTTTAAGTTAAAGTTTCATTCAAATCATACTTCTTGGCAGATGTGACTTAAATGTCTCACTTGTAAAGTCAGTCCTATCAGGTTCAAACTATGCAGCACTGATTCTGGCACACAAAGGGGCAAACTAAAACAAAAAACAAGAAACAAAAAACAAAATAAAAATTTGCAAATAAGTATATAGACTTAATGGGATAGCTCTGGAACTCAAGGCTGTAAAAGGCAAAATGCCTTTGGTCGTACACAATTACAAACATGTGGGGATAAACTAGAAAAGCCTAATTATTTAATAAAGGTGGGGAGGAAAGACCAATTATTGTTGAGTGTTGACTAAGTGCCAGGTGCTTTTATCTTCTTTGTCTAACTTAAATTTTATATGGACTTGACAAAGCATTTATCACAATGCTCATTTTACAGGTTGCCAAACTGTGGCTGTGCGAGGTTTTAAGCAATTGTCCCAGGTCACTTGGACAGTAAGTTGTAGAGTAAAAAACCCAATTTGGTTTGGCTCCAAATATTGGACATAATCAACTATGGATTTTTAACGTTAAAAAGGTATTTAGCACTTTAATTAAAAACAGCAAAAAACCCCTGCAAGATGCACAAATCAACGTGAGGTCATCTCTGGTTTGTCAGGAGGTAGCTTTTATTAACCTTGAGAGCTAATAAGCAGTTGAGAGTCAGAGACACCTGGGTTGAGGTTTTAGCCCCCCCCCTACACTTAACTGTGTTCCTAGGCCTGTTTCTTCATGTGGAAAAATGAAATGACACCATTTACCTTGCAGGGTTGCTGTTGTAAAAATAAAATGAGAATTTATGTTAAGACCATACACTGCCTGGCACGTAGTAACCACTCAATAAATGGCAGTTGCTATTATTTACGACAGGAATAATCTAGGTATGTTGCACACTGCTGAACGTGATCATGGATGTCTTCCACAAAACGCCCCCGGTATCAAAGGTAGAATGCTGCGTCAAATTTACCATAACTCAGATTCGCTATGACGCCCCCGCCCCCCTTAATCCCTTTCCATGTCGCAGCAAAATAATGGGCGACTGGGGATAGGGGAGCAATAGCCGACACTAGTAAAAAAGGAAAAAAAAGAAGGACCCGAATAACAAAGGCCTGCGAAGGCCCTACATCTCCGTGTCTCCACAGCCTTTATCCATCCATCTTTCACACTAAAGAAGACAGTATGCATGGCTAGGATGGGGGTGGGGTAGATAAATGTGTGTTCCCGGGAGAACCTATTCGTTTTCCCCGTGCAACTCTCCATCCCAGGGTTGAGCGATTTGAATGCAACAGGGAGAGGGACCAGGTGACAGGCACGCAGTGCTGGTACATGAGTCAAAAAGCGAGGACCTGGAACTGAGGGGTGGGTGGCTGGGTTGGGGGAGGAAGGGGAGAAGGGAAGAGACCAGCACACCCTCCATACATACGCAAATTGAGTGAGTCCGCCTCTGGACACAAACCAGTGAAGGCAGGCCGGAGAACCTGAAGCTCTCAGTTAAGAGCAGGTGTCACCGCAGCAGGAACGTCCAGCCGAAGTCTGCGCTCCGCAGCCCACACAACGACAACCTACCCAGAGGCGCCCAGAGCTGGTTTGCAGCACGCCGATCTACGTAACCCCAATCTAGCACGAGCAACAGGCAGGTTTCGCCATCTTTGTTGTGGTCACGGATTTTTTTCTTGGCTTCCTGGGTTCTTTAGTCTCCAAAGATAAAAGACTCTTGGCTCTTTGCTAGTTTTCTGAGCTCGAGATGAAGCAGGGAAGGCTAAGACAGTGAGGGACAGCGTTCCGGTAGCCCTGCCACAGCTCTCTCACCCTCTGGCCCGCCCTCACTCAAGATGGCTACCAGCAAAATGGTGCAATGACGTGACAGCGCTGCCCTGGTTGCCAAGGAGACGCGAGTACCGGAAATGCGGAATTCGGGGAGGGCTCGCACGCCTGGGCTGATAGAAGTGGGGGTGGGGTGGGGCGAGCGTCACAGGTCCTGACAGGGAAGAAGTTGGCAGGTCCTGGCAGGGGACGAGCAGCGGTGGGGGCACCTCCGGGTATGGAAGGCTCCAGTGAGATGGAGTCGCGAGTTGCAGACACGGGGGCCGACGAGACTGCGCGAGCAGCGGGCGAGGATCCGGCAATTGGCTGCACCGCTCGGGGGTCCGTAGTCTCGGCGCCCCTGGGAGCCGCCCGGTGGAAGCTCCTGCGGCAGGTAAGGGACAACCCGCTCGCCTCACCTTTGCTTCTGGTCACTTCCCTCTCTGGTTCCCGGCGCGCGACCGGTCGCTGCTCTTTCTCCTTGGCAGCTCTGGGAGTTCCTTCTCAGTTTGCCGGGAGCCACCTGCGAAGCGCCCCCTCGCTTCCCCGAATCGTCCCGCCAAGAGGAGGAATCTTGTGAGGTTGAGTGAGGAAGGGGACAGCCAAGGCTGAGCTGCTGGGAAACTCAGATCCAAGTAGAAGAATCCCTTCTATAGACATTTACTTGTATCTGGGGGACTTTTCGCCTTCTCACCTGTCGCTGGTGCGCCCGCCGCTCCCCACTGCTCTTTTCTTCTGTTTTGCCTCCTTCCCCAGCTCTCTTCTAGATTCGTAACTTCCAGGCTGGTTCTCGTTACGCATGTTCGTCTGCACCTTCTTTTGCCCAGCTTGGTTGACTGTGCAGGGACTGAGACACCGCACGCGTTCCCTCGGCTGCTTCCGTCCAGCGGAGCGTGCAGGGAGTAGGAAGAGCTGCCCGCCTCTCTCACCGAGGTCTGAAAGTTAAATGGTTATCTTGTAGTTTGAAGTGATCAGCAAGATGCTCCGCGTCCAAGACGGGCTAGTCAGAGTGTGTTCGTTTGTTGAATGACGGTATCTTCTGGTACTTCAAAGTTCCTGCTGTTGCTTATAACTTCACTCATGTGCAAGCTTCACGGAAGTTCTGATTTGTGAACACTGACATTCTTTGCAAACTGCTTGAAGTGATGTCTGGTTATTGTTTTTACATAACTGTTATGCCTCTGCCTGAAGTTTTCCGCTGAAAATTTTACTCAGAAGGACTTTTTTTTCTTTTTGAGATGGAGTCTTGCTGTGTTGCCCAGGCTGGAGTGCAGTGGGGCCATCTCGGCTCACTGCAACCTTCGCCTCCCGGGTTCAAGAGATCTCCTGCCTCAGCCTCCTGAGTAGCTGGGACTACAGGCGCATGCCACCACACCTGGCTAATTTTTATATTTTTAGTAGAGACTGGGTTTCTCCATGGTGGCCAGGATGGTCTTAAACTCCTGACCTAGTGATTCACCCGCCTGGGCCTCCCAAAGTGCTGTGATTACAGGTGTGAGCCACCACGCCCGGCCGACATTTTTTCCATTTCTGACAGTTGTATTGGGAAGAGTTTCCCAACTATTGCCACTTTACTTGAGATTGTGCTTTTAGTATTTTGAGGGTTAGTTTGCAGTTGCCTTGAGTCACCTTTTCATACAGTGGTCTTTTAGTGCTGTTAGAGTTATGAGTTAAGTAGATTTTAAGAGTTAATTAAGATGTATTTGCTGATGCATTAAGAGTCTTTCCAGAGCAGTAATGATCTGGTGTTGCTATTGTTACAAATGATATTACAGGATAAGAAAATGCAGCCGGGCGCGGTGGCTCACGCCTGTAATCACAGCACTTTGGGAGGCCGAGGCGGGCAGATCACGAGGTCAAGAGATCAAGACCATCCTGGCCAACATGGTGAAACTCTGTCTCTACTAAAAATACAAAAATTAGGCGGGAGTGGTGACACGCACCTGTGGTCCCAGCTACTCGGGAGGCTGAGGCGGAGGAATTGCTTGAACCCAGGAGGCGGAGGTTGCAGTAAGCCGAGATTGCGCCACTGCACTCCAGCCGGAAGACAGAGCAAGACTCCATCTCAAAAAAAAAAAAAAAAAGAAAGAAAATGCATGACCTCACAGATTATCATAGGAAGTGTCTGTAATGAAGTAAACATCTGATTTTTTTTTTTTTAGTGACCACTGAAATGGGATCTTAAGTGAGCTGGAGAGAGGGGACTCAACACCCTCCCGTCCCGCCTTGTTTTTTTTTTTTTGATACAGAGTCTCACTCTGTCGCCCAGGCTAGAGTTCATTGTCATGATCTCGGCTCACTGCAGCCTCTGCCTCCCAGGTTCAAGCAATTCTCCCGAGTAGCTGGGATTATAGGCACCCACCACTGCGCCCGGCTAATTTTTGTATTTTTAGTAGAGACGGAGTTTTGCCATGTTGGTCAGGCTGGTCTCGAACTCCTGACCTTAGGTGATCCACCTGCCTCGGACTCCCAAAGTGCTGAGATTACAGGCCTGAGCCACCGCGCCTGCGACGCCCACCTCCCAATCCAGGTAAATGCAGTCCAGGTAAAAGCATCCTCCCACCTGAGCCTCCTGAGTAGTTGGGATTACAGGGGTATGCCATGATACCTGGCTTTCAGTGATTCTTAGTATAGTAAAAACTCTAGCACTTAGGTTCATTCTAAGTTGCGATCTAAATGAGAACAAGTAACAGGTTTCAGCTGCGGCTGTTATATGAATTCCCCACGTTTTGACATGAAACTTTTGGTATACATCTGCCTGGTTAGAGTCTTTTTATCTTCTCTGCTTGGTGAATGATTGGTCATTCTTCATACTTCAATTTCAAACTACTCTTCTGTGAAGCCACCCCTAATGCCTCTGGGCTAAGTTAGACCCTCAGCCCACTCTCGAGTGAGCTCCTTATTTTATGATTATGTGATCAGGGTCTCTTTCTTACTAGAATGGGCATTCTCCCTGGGAAAAGGTGATGCTTTATTAATTTACATCCTCTGCACCTAGCACAGGGCCTGGTTAATTGGTTTTTAGCAGGTGTTGTTAAGTGTCTGTGGGAAGCCTGAGAGTAAGGACAGTCTTTAAGTGGTTTACCTACTCCTTAGTGTATTTTTGTTAGAAATGCTGAGGATATGATAAAATACATTGCTAAGAAAAATAATGGCAAGAAAAACTTAGCTGCCACCCCCGAGTAGAAAACTACTTGGGGCATTCTAAAAGTAGCAAAACAGTATATATCATACACCGGTTAAAACAATTCCTTAAGCATGGCATATGCGACCTGGCCCCTGTGGCTCCCTCGTGGAGAATACTTTCTGGTTTGTCCTTGATCAGTAGTAAGCAGGCACCAGCTGCCTACCTAGTTTATCTTGGTTCTATGAGAAAACACGGAACACCTGTTTGTTAATAATGATCTGTTCAGAGAGAATAAATACCTGGGTCAGAATCTGCTCCAGGCCCTCAGCCCGGAATGCTGTCAGCCCCCTGAGGCTCTCAGCTTGGAAGGCTGTTGGCCATAGTCCCACTTTGCTGTTCTATCTGGGTGTCTGCTTCTTAATGCCTTCAGTGCTGCCTGGGTGGGGGCTTCTACGACCAAGCTGGTCTCAGTGTATTTTATCAGTTAGCTATTGCTGAGTACAGTGGCACACAACAGTTAGTATTTATTTTGTTGGTGCATCTGGGGGTCACCTGGGAACTGACCAAAATAGGCTGTAGTCACCTAGATAACTCTGTGATACACACGTGGTCCAAATATCTCTAATCTTTGGACTAGTGTGCTCAAGTCCTCATGGTGATAGCAGAGGTATAAGAGCAAGCCCAACCAGGGAAACACATTTTAAACCTCTGCTCACGTCATGTGTTGACTTCCTATTGACCAAAGTAAGGTATTTGGCAAAGCCCAAAGTCAAGGGGCAGGAAAATACAACTCCTTCCTTGTCGGTGACAAAGAGAAAGTGAATCTTTTTCTATTATAATTTAATCGATCACATATATTAAACATTTTCAAGCTCTTAGTAAATGTGTTTCAAATGAATGAACCATTCTTAACCTTATATGCATCTAGTAGTGGAAAACTATAAGGGATGTAAGTAAGCAGTGCTAGGGATATGTGACTCCTTTTCTCTCATGGGACATCTACAGAACATCTGCTCTGCTTGTTTTTTCCCTTACAATTCTGTCTTTCCATTACCCTGTAGATAATGTCCTTTTACTTTAACCGTTCAGTATTTTCTGTGTTTTGCAATTAACAATTTTGAGAGAAAATCTGGTTGACCTAGTTTATCATTTGGTTCCAGGTTACATGATAAGTTACCAAGATTTGAGTTAAGAGAGTACTTAAATTAGATGAGGTCTGGAAGTTTATGAATCAGTATCAGAAGTTATGGATGTTGTTCTATTTTACTCTTTGTTGAGTTTCATCACATGTTGACAAAGATGGCCACTGGCAACTCCAGGCTTTCATATTCATCCAGCTAGTAATCCAGAAGAAATAATTCTTTTCCCCAACATCCAAATGATTTTCTCCTAAGGACTCTGATATCTGATAGGCCAAGGTTAGACCAATTGCTGTGTCCAGAATGGGGCACTTTGGCTAACCTGGGTCATCAGCCCACCCTCTGGCAGGTGAGGTTAACAACCTCACTAGAATTACACAGAGTGAGGGAGGAGCAGTTCCTAAAAGGAAGCCACATAAGGCAGATGAAAAAGTAGCAGTGACTGTTACACATGTATTCACAAACCACCTACCGAATGAAAAATCTTGCCTATAGGTATAATACTTGGCTGAAGAATCTGATAATGGAATATTTCACAGTACAATTTATATTAAAGCAGGATGCTTTTGGCTAATTAAAAAAGTTGGTTAAGAGGTGAATTGTAATAATGAAGTTTACTCTCTGAGTGTCAGATCTTTCTAGATATTTATAATTCTTCAGATGTTTATAGTTAGCTTCCAATAACTAAATTGATAGTAAATTTTTAAGCAACTTACCTTTATCTTTCTAAGACATTCCACCTGGCTTTTAGGAAAGTGACAACTCTCTTTTAGCTGTATGTTATTAGTTTTGTAATATTTAATTAATAATAAGTTAAATATTTAATTGAGGAAAATTAAATTTGTTATTTTGAAGAACAAGTGGTATAAAAGGTTTTTGAAATGGAACAGTTAACTTGGCAAGCATGCAACTTGACACTGGCATCAGATGCATCTAAACTCTTGCTCCAGTCCTAGGTCTACTGTGTGCTCTTCACTGATCTACATCAAGTATTTAGGTTGTTATAGAATGTATTTTTGTATCACTTTTATTCCTGACTTTGTTTTATATTCTTACCTTTGCTTTCTTTTTTTCTCATCCACTCTTCATAAATACTATCTTGTGGTATTGTCCATCTTTTTAAGCCATCTTAACTCCTTGTGGTAACAGGTGTGATGTAAGTCTTCTGTAAGCTGTGGGAATTTGGACAGATTTTTACTTTCGTAGCCTCAGTTTTCTTCTCACTTAATGGGAACAATACCACATACTTTGGAAGATTGTTTTGAGAATTTGAGATAATATTTGTAAAATGCTTAGCTTGGAATCTGCCACATCATAGACTCACAATAAATAGTAGCTGTTATTTTTATTATTATTTTTTGAGACAGAGTCTCACTCTATCACCCAGGCTGAAGTGCGGTGGTGTGATCTCAGCTCACTGCAACCTCCATGTCCTG